TATGGCATTGGAATACATACTAAGGAAACATAGACACACATGTAGAAGATATGGTATACTACATCTATTCATACATATTGATTCAATACAAAGAGTTATAATGGAAGATTTATCCCAGTGTCCGTTATCCCTAGTATGTCACTGAGACATAGCAAAATACTAAATTCACATATTTTTGCAAAACCAAGGTTAGTCATTACTGACGTATACAGATATATCCTATAAATGTTGCATTATCACTACCATTAGTTTAAAGACATGGGGTATGAGAAGTGGGCATTTAAATACCTTGCAGCGGAGACATTTTTCCATGTATCGATACCAATCCGCTTCCTATATGTATGGCTATTTTTTGTGTGTGTGTGTGTGTGTGTTTTTTTTATAATTGAACCTACTTTTCAGAAAATATTTTTTGTGTGGATACTTTGTTACATTATATTCAGTAGTATATGATTGGTTATTTTCTTAATGTTACCAAGGATGCTTTATAGTTAAAATTCCAAGATGTAGGAATTTGAACATTTATCCATTTAAGATCTACTAGAGGCACCCAGACCTATTTTCCTTAATGTAGTGGGGACTGGGTGCAGTAGCCCTTTAGTTGTAACCATTCAATGTATGTGCAATTGAATCAATGCATCTCTGTGAGGAAAGTTCAGTGTCTGCATGCAGAGGGTGGAGACACTGAATGTTGTGATGCACACTAGGCAAGACTGAGATAGGAAGCAGTTCTAGCAGCCATCTGATGTGTGGCCAGTGAAGTTATCACTAGGCTGTAATGTAAATACTGCATTTTCTCTGAAAATGGGGAAAGCATTGGATTGGGGATGTAAAACATCAAGACAGTAAAGTTGGTCAGGTAGATTAGTATTCATGCCAAAACATTTTTTATTTATTTATTATTGGATTTGTTATTTTGGTTTTTTATAGTATGTCTGGATGTTTGAGAACGTTTGGTATCTTTGTCAATTAAGGGCTAGTGATGGTCTATGGTATAATAGCATAGTCTGGTCCTAAGAAACCTTACTCATGAAATGAATTTTCTCATTTAATGTTAGCATTGTTACGGGCAAATGCAAATATTACAAGTTTTAGAATGAAATGTTGTATTTCTTAAACTGTGTACTTTGTCTTTAAGAGATATTGCAAACTGACAAGGTGTAAGAAATGGAACATATTGTTATTCATAGATGTTTCTTTAAGCAATAACCTCAGTGCATAATATGTTTGCGCCATTTTGTCCCAGACGAATTACAATAACAATAATGCATAAACAAGCTTCAAGGCTATTCTACGACACTTGCAGTACACAATATACTGTGGTAACCCCAAGTTAATGGAACTTCCCCAAATCCGGGAATCTCCCACGACTGTACACTTACGACTTAGTATAAACAACAGATAACCTATTCAGACTTTAAGATGCCATCTTGAACTAAGTCAGGAAAATTTCCATGACGTATACACCCTTTAGTTATGGCCTTGTATGTTTGCCAAATTAAGGGAGGTCCTAAATTGAATAAAGTAAAAGAAGTGTTACTTTTTCATATTTGAACTACAGTAACCTAAAATGGAGACACCTAAGGTATAAATAGGTGTACTTTTAAATGTTAAGACACAGAGGAGAGACTTGGAGACAGACGCTGCTCCATCTTAAAATGACAGAGAGGCTGACATGATGACATGTTCAGAAGGGTATGTTAACCTATTAATGATATTTGCAAGCATGTAATATAATCTTATAAACTCTGCTATAATGGATTTTATATTTTTATATAATAAATATCCAAAAGACAATCTTGCTTCCAAGACAATCATTATTTTATATTGTATTCTCAATTATTTATATATGTTAAATAGAGGATCTCTTACACTATATAAAATTATGGCTAAGATATCTGTATGGTTAGCCCTACTAAGTTCTATGCTTTAAGACATTATAGTGGTAAATAAGGGAACCACACACGGTTACAATTGGCGACCACGAAGGGACTTTGTACTTGGAAGCTTTAAATATAAAATAAATACCTAGGTAACCTCTTATACGTAAGAGAAGACACAACACTTTGTCATGGCACAAGTCTTGAAATATCAAGAATCTATTGAGCTACTTGTAGCCCAGACTCAGAGAGAGATCATTAGAGATGATTTTAATGTGAACAAGGCACTGTGAGTTTAGGTGCCAGGTACAACGTAATTAGCATACAATGCTGAAATTGTGGATCTTAACTAATATCATAATAGAACAAATGCCTAATACACCAGCATAGCATGGCCCGTTAGTTCCAGGACAGTGGATTGCAGACAGGGGGATATGTTCTCTTTGTAGCTGCTTAGTATGCATGCGCAGGAAAAAGATTAATGCAAAATGTTGTCAAAAGAAAAGTGATAAGACAGAGCGATGAAATTTGAAGTCTAATTCCAAGAATGCAAAGAAAAAATGCATTATGGCTTAATGAAAACATTCATGCAACAGACAGACAGGATTTTTAATTATTGCATTACTGCATTCTGGATTCTAATGTCCACTATATATGAAAAGTTTTATAAAACAGTGATATTTTCCATATTGTCAGTTACGCTAGCTGTTGATTGAAAATCAGGAATTATAACAGCATAACTATTTTTGGAGTCTGGAATTTCCAGCCAAGGTTGCAGAGATACAGAGACATGTAAACATTCCAAGGAATTGAGAAGTCGTTGTTTTATATTCCAAATTATGAACAACATTATTACATACAGCCATAGAGAGAAAGACATGGCTATTAAATACATTGAGTGCAGTACAATGCAGTACACTGCAGCATATATATTATATAATATAAGATAACTAGCTTATATTTTTTCCTAAACAGAGTTGAAATTATACTACCCTCCTAGAAAAAAGGGCAACAGGTGGTTATACATCCTTTGCTTCTCTAAATGCTATGCAAAAATAAATATTTATAAAATTATTAAAAATAATATATGTAAGAAATCAGGGCAAAATAAAATGGTAACTATACAGGATCTCTGATAACTTTTAAACTGAAATTATTAAAGGCTTATTTAAATAAAATGTTAAATACATTTACAGCTTTAAATGTGACCAAAATATATTAAATGATGTGTTAAGCAGCCAGCCCAATTCACTAGAATAGCATAAGTATTCTACTATTTAAAGTGCACAATTCCTGCACATAATGACTTTGCTTACTCAGGTACAGTCTTTAGTCTATTGCAATGGCAGAAAAGTCCACCAATTTTAAAAGGGAAAACTTACTTAAATCAGTGGTACTATCCCACCGTACTAGCAGTAAAGAAATTAGAACAATTATATTGTACTACTGACTGTAATCAGATCAGACACATATAATCTCAGTGAATTTCATAAACTAGGTTTTTATAAAATACGATTAAATAAATAAATGTATGGAGACTAAGCATTAAGAGCATTTACATGCATTCAGCAGCCTGCTCTCTCAAAGCCAGAAACAGATTTATAAAAAATAAAAAGTAGGTTTTAAAAAGTCCGCAATCACCACACATGATGGGTGTAATAATTGCTTCTTTAAAAGCTATATGCTGCCGCAATTATGTATATAAATACAGATTAGGGCACAGAGTAGATATAAAAATACAGTTTCAAATCTCATATATGAGGATTCAGTTCCACCACATATTCTACAATTCTGAAAGAGGCTAATTTTAATATGTTGTAAAAGCACATATAATGCAAAATTAATTTGATATTGCAAGGCTGCAATATTCTAAACAGACATTAAAATTTAAGAAAAAAAGAAAAAGAATAATGCATAAAGAATAGTGTCAATTAAAGTGATAATACTCTGATATATTAAATCACATTGCATATCACATATCTGCTATATGAAAAGTATAATTAAGGTGACTTTACTGCCCAATGCCCCCTCACATCTATTTTATAGAATCTATACTTTTCAGTGGTCACTTCTAAAGAAGCCTCTGAAACTGGGGGGCTTAGAGGGGTGCTCATCCCAAAAGAAATCAGATTCCAGACTTAAAATAAATAAATGATAGAAAAGGAATCACAGACCAGAACATGCATTTTTGTATATAATCTTAATTTGCAGATATTTTATGCAGTTAAGACATATACAGGATAGTTAATTAAATATGCAGGTATCTTTAAAAATTAAGCAATGTTAAAAAAAATAAAAAAATAAAATTAATAATAATAATAAAAAATATATTTTACACCACAATATAAACAGCTTTGTTAAACAGATTTAAGTACAAGTACTTATGTCAAGAAATATACAGAATACGTTTACAACAGGCAGGTTTAGCATAAATGCAAAGTTGTTGTTTTGGGGGATTTATTATTGCCCAAGAAATCTCTGAACACATTCAGAATTTTTGAGAGCAGCAAGTATAGACAGCAGATTGCAATGGACACCATTACAATATTGCTTTGCCGATTGAGGTCAGAGGTTTAAAGAATAAATAAATAAATGTTCTATAGCTCACTAGACCACTAGCTTTTAATGAATAGTTTGCACAACACTTATAAATAGTTTGTAATACTGCACATTATAGCTGTAACAACATAATACACAGGGTAGCAATGCTATGTCACTGTTTAATAGACTTACCCAGTATTTAAGGACGACATGTTTCTTGCAAAGTCATCGGGTCTTTGAGGGAGGTTCTAACTACATTTAATTAATTAATTAACTTACTAAAGAAAAAAAGAAGGTTTTGTTTTTCCCCTGCAAGTGAATTTTCGGCGCAAGGTCATTTTGTGTTCACAGACTATTCGGTTTTAAAAAGCTGTTCTTTATCTCACATTATGAACGGCCTTGTAATTCCTATCCACACTAAAAGTTGGCTTTTAAATGTTATTGTTTTAACTTTAATATTTCTTAGTTAATACAGAGGATAAAGTAATTTAAAGAAAGTATATTGAAACTATATTAATTGATAAGATTTAATTTATCTATTTTGGTCCACTGTTCACTGATCTCGAGTCTCAGTCTGGTGTTCAAACAGTTTTTCTTACGATACGTCGTGAGTTTATATCCACAACTGCGTTTTGCTTTGTGATAACAAATTGAAAGCCTGGCATTGTAATACGTGTATGGACATGCTTATAACAAAGCATGGTCCCTCTCCTCATGTCGTTAACAGGCACTTTGATGCAGTGTGTCTACCAACGCTTTTCTGTGGTCACTGGATCACATCGCATACCCTATCTCTCAGTCATGATGCAGAGTTTATGCTTGCAAGGATATCCAGACCTTATCCACCTGGTATCCGCATAAATACTCCTATCGTTTAGAGGGGTTAATTACATAATAACCATTGAAGGTAATATGTTGGTTGTTCTTCCTATAGAGGAAAGATGGACTTGCCCTAAAAGCTTTTTCATGGCTAGGACAAGCTCTTATAGAGAGAGGTAATGTACTTCTGACTCCTGAAAAGGAATATTGTTGGTCACAATATGGGAAATACTGTAATTCATGTGTTTAGTAATCATAAGCATTTGCTTATTGCCACATTACTGATGTACTGTTTATTGAAATATTAATATCCAACATACTTTTGAATTACTATATATTGAAAGTTTGCCAACATCTCATGGTTATAAATATGTTTTTGTATGTGTTGATGCATGTACCATGTTTACTTGGATATATCCTGTGCGAAGTGCAACCTCTGATGCCATGTTTTCTAGTCTCACTTCCTTAGTATGCATTTGATAATCCCAGGACCATCCATTTGGATGGTGGTCCTGCAGTTACTGCAAAGGAAACCTAAAACTGGGCAACCACATTTGGGTTACTTTGGGATTTCAGTGCCCCAACCACCCCCAAAGAGGTGGGGTTGTGGTCTGGGAGAATGCTGAGGTTAAATGATTATTAACCAAGTTACTAGTTGCTTGCCCCACACAGTGGTATCTATTTATTCCTATGGTACAGATAAGCATTCACAACATACCTGATGATACAAATGGTGAGACACCATATGAAATGTTACATGTTTTTCACTGACAAATATATTTCTGCACCAGGGAGAGCTTAGAACCATTGGTTCTATTAGAGAAATTTAGGGAATTTTTTTTTTTTTCCAGTCCACTTCGCCTTGCACCACCACCTATTTCCTTCTGTTGGCCAGTTTGTCCTGGAGAGGGTGATACCAAGAACTACAGAGAACAAATCAGACCCAACAGAGAACAGTAAGTTTTGATATTTTACAACCTGCTAAATATTAACAGGACATTCACAGAACCACTGACTGACACAATGGATGCTGTTAAAGATGGCAAGAAAAAACAAACAGAGGACGACAGAAAAGCCACCAGAATCATAGACAGACTGAATCATGATCTGACATCTGAACCTGCAAATGTGAAGGAGAAGGATGAACAGACAGACGTGATACATTCACAGTTAACATGGAATGTATGAAAAATGAATCATCAACATCATTATAAGAAAGACTCTGGAGAAAACAGACTGAACCTGAATTATCTTATACAGTAAGAAAGAAATGCAAAGATGGAAGCAAAATGATGCTAGAAAATTGGTTATGGTGTCTCCTTCTTACAGTCTGCAGCATTATCATAACATCAACCCTAGCTGTCGTTTTAAAACTGCATTGGGATTATGTTAACAAGCAGGAAGCACCTGAAATGAATTGGACTGCACACTATACAAGTTCTTTGATCGTGAGGACTACCTCCAAGAACCATCTCAAAAGGAGAGACACAGCTCCCAGTGAAATGATTGCCTACACTGGTATTTCACAAGGAACCTATTGAGATCATTCCAAAAACCGATTATACGTGAGAAAGATGTGATTGGACAATTACAAATCCTAATAATGGACTCAACAATGATGACAAAGCATGCTGAAATCTGAAAAAGATGGGACAGATGTTTGTGAAAGACTTTGGATGCACCTATGAAGGTGATGCAAGAAAAGACTTTGCCATATAGTTTATCATTGAGTGACTACCGCAAACAGCCTTCTTATGCTGAAAAGAAGTGCTATGCTAATTCTGGACATTGCAATTATGTATCCAGACAGAAGATGACCGGAAAAAGAAATAAAGGCTGATAACTGTCAACACCCAGCTGTTTTTCAAGATGGAACATGGTACTGAGAAAACCTGATTGACTATCAAAGCACCTCACAGTACAAGACAGATTGTTACCTACAATTCAGAGAAAGGGGTTAATAGGAAGGAGCAGAAGAAGAGATTTCCTACCGGAGTGGAAAAACCACCCTGGAACAATATTCTATAACAATGAACTTTACAATGACATTTGGTGGCATATGAATTTGAATTTGGTAGAAACACATAAATTAACGAAAGAAACCTTGATGCAATTAATAAATAATAACAATACCGGCCTACTAAGAGCAGATGCCCTGCAAAGAGAATGAAATATAAAACGACCAGCAAAATCTGTCAGAAACCTGACATCATGGGACACTTGTACTAAAGCACGATTTGCAGCTTTTCTCAAACTCTACATATTATGTACATACCTGCAAAGCAAGGAACTCCTGTAAACATAAAGACAGACATTGATACAACAAGGAATCTGTAATGGTTCTGTTGCAGATGTGATCTACCGTCGTACTCCTTGCTCTTTTGGTATAACTATACCAATCAAAACGTTAAATGGCTCCACAGAATCAAACGACAAAGGATTCTTGCTATATTCTGGACTTCCAGGAATGTGGTGCATGGACAGAAAAATTATAATTACTAAAGCAATCATGCTATTTTTTTTCCCTGTATCAGAAATGTGTCAGTGACAATGTGTAATATAATACAGATTCTATAATTAATGGTATAAGAAACACATAATGTGTTAATTACAAAGGTGGATAGACTTTGTGAATATCTGAAACGCAATTGAAGATTATTGCTAAAATGCCATATGCAGCTGCAGTCTGGCCTACAAACAAATATATTAGACATAAAGTATAAGAGCATAACAGCTAATTACCCAGATAAATAATTGAATCATGATAGTTAAAGATCATATGATTGCAATAACAACTGCAATAATGAATGTTTTAACCTTAAAAGAAAATGTGAAATGTTTTTATTAAATCAGAAACTATTCGATATTCGTTTAAGTTTGCAGAGTGGTATAATTAATATAAAATTTAACTGAAAGACAGGCAGAAACTTTACTTCAACTATCATAAAGTTTATTATAATGATAAAAATATTCAGTCTGCCAGAGCTAAGGCCAGTAAATGGAAAGTAAAAGAGTATTATGGATTAACCCGTCCAGGTGATATACATGATGATTTTGGAAATTGATAAGTTAGGTCACCTATTGCAAACTTGTGAAAAGATGTCAAAGATATAAATTCAACATCCATACCACTCTATGTATATATATATATTAAAATACACGTAATCAAATATTTTATCAGTTTTTCAAATACAAAGAAAATGTAATTTGGTTTGTAATGGTTAAAGGTACATAAACCACCTATACAAAGGTAGAGTTAAAATATAAATACATTCAATATTGTATCTGAGTGCTTTCTTAACTCACTTTTAGAAATAATAATACAAATTCTAATCATCTTAAGCTACATCCAACAGCCACTGAAAAATATACTTAAACAATTAAGATTCACATTGTTAAGCATCCAATCTCACGAATGTAGCTTTCCACAATGGCTGTCAGATCTTGGTTAAAAAAAAATAAAAAAAAAAAAATGTTTTCTAAGACAATTTTTGGGTGTTTCTGGTATTTTAAGCCACTAATAACTGTAGTTATTATATTTACTAATTATAACTTAGGGAATAAGTTGTCTTCTCCCTAACAGGACAAAGAAAGATAATTAACGTCATATTTCCAATTATCAACTATTCTAAATATATTGAGAGATTTTGAATAAAGGAGTATTTTTAACATTCAAAGAGAATGTAATTTTACATACCATTGTGAACAAAGGTGGTAAATATTTTGCTGCTTCAAATTATCCTTATATATCTAAATCATATACAAGGGTGTTTATCTTTAAAACAAAACACTAGAAAGATTAACTATGTTACTATTTCATCTATCATTATTATACAAACTATAACAAATGAAAAGATTTTTCCACAGATTTGACCTGTGAACATTTTTAGCACAACAGCACCTGATGTCAGTGAGATGTCTATCACTGAGATATTACAAAGATTCCAATACAGCAAAAAGAGGCGTTCTTGAGGATCCACTTCGATTGCTGTATCAACAAAACATTTACTATAATGGGATCCATGTCACTTAAGACAATGTCTTGGAAATGCTGTCAATTAATTTATTCCGTAAAAGAATATCAGAGAGTATCCAATCTATACACATCATAAACGGTGTAAAAATGTTTCATGGAAAAAACAAACAAAATAAAAAGCAAAGACAAAAGACAAAGACAAATACCAACGCCATCACCACGGTGATAACAGATGATGCTGATTCAATATCTGCAACCAATTCTATCCAAATATTTGGAAAGCTGGACTCTACAACCTATACTATACAACAAATACCCGGGTATTCTACAAACACAACCTCCAGCAATGTATCTAAGGAATGTAAACTTCTACAGGTCTTTAAAGACTTTGGATTACAAATACAATTACTATTTTTAACTTTGGATTACAATTCGTATCCGATCTATCCAAGAATATCTTACTCTGGAACTTGGTGTTCTTTTTAATTCTTTCCCAGACAAAAGCTTTGCTCATTTTAATCAACCACCTTTACAGGCAAAGATCACACTACGGATATTTTACTGTTACAACAATGATCAAAGATGCTGGGAGCACAAAAACCTAAAGACTGTTGGAGAACTTTGGTTTACTAATTTAAGGAAGAAATGCGCTACAATGCCCACAGTTTAATGGAGAGGGTGTTATGGGCAAATGCAAATATTACAAGTTTTAGAATGAAATGTTGTATTTCTTAAACTGTGTACTTTGTCTTTAAGAGATATTGCAAACTGACAAGGTGTAAGAAATGGAACATATTGTTATTCATAGATGTTTCTTTAAGCAATAACCTCAGTGCATAATATGTTTGCGCCATTTTGTCCCAGACGAATTACAATAACAATAATGCATAAACAAGCTTCAAGGCTATTCTACGACACTTGCAGTACACAATATACTGTGGTAACCCCAAGTTAATGGAACTTCCCCAAATCCGGGAATCTCCCACGACTGTACACTTACGACTTAGTATAAACAACAGATAACCTATTCAGACTTTAAGATGCCATCTTGAACTAAGTCAGGAAAATTTCCATGACGTATACACCCTTTAGTTATGGCCTTGTATGTTTGCCAAATTAAGGGAGGTCCTAAATTGAATAAAGTAAAAGAAGTGTTACTTTTTCATATTTGAACTACAGTAACCTAAAATGGAGACATCTGAGGTATAAATAGGTGTACTTTTAAATGTTAAGACACAGAGGAGAGACTTGGAGACAGACGCTGCTCCATCTTAAAATGACAGAGAGGCTGACATGATGACATGTTCAGAAGGGTATGTTAACCTATTAATGATATTTGCAAGCATGTAATATAATCTTATAAACTCTGCTATAATGGATTTTATATTTTTATATAATAAATATCCAAAAGACAATCTTGCTTCCAAGACAATCCTTATTTTATATTGTATTCTCAATTATTTATATATGTTAAATAGAGGATCTCTTACACTATATAAAATTATGGCTAAGATATCTGTATGGTTAGCCCTACTAAGTTCTATGCTTTAAGACATTATAGTGGTAAATAAGGGAACCACACACGGTTACAGCATAGAAACATAGAATGTTACGGCAGATAAGAACCATTCGGCCTATCTAGTCTCCCCAATTTTCTAAATACTTTCATTATTCCCCGGGCCTTATCCTATAGCTAGGATAGCCTTATGACTATCCCACGCATGCTTAAACTCCTTTACT